AGGAAGCGTGGCACTCAACTGAGGACACGATCAATCGACATATCGATCTGCCAATCGCTTAGCAAGCACTGCGTGAACAAATCAGCAGCGCAGCTGGAGGTCATTCTCGGCAGAGATGAGCTAAATATGCGATGAGTTGTACAATATTTTCATTCCTTGACGATGGGCTCGCGTGAGAGTTCGAAACGTCGGACAAATAAACCACTGGTCCCAGCGATCGCCTTCCCGTCTTCTTCTATGCAATTACCTGGGCCGCGCGTATTCTCTACCATTCGATATACATATAGATATATATATATATATCGCGGTTATCATCTTCCGAAGAAGACGAAGAAGAAGAAGAGAGGGCGAATCCATGGACCATATTGTATTCGAGCTGACGTTTCGGAAACTTCCTCGTTTCCATCATCAGATTGGCGTAATTGTTGCACTTGCCCATATATATATATATATATTATGATAGTGTGCGCTCACCGATCAGGTTGCGGAACATGCTCGTTCCGTTGTGCCTTGGGACTCATACTTAAACCCTCGCAGGCAGTCGCACAGCGACTAGTAGTAGATATAGATGAGATGGTACCGACAAAGACAAGGGAGACCGCAATGGCCATTTCTGGCTTATTAGCCCCAAGGCACAACGGAACGAGCATGTTCCGCAACCTGATCGGTGAGCGCCCACTATCATAATTAATATTCCCGATCACAACCGACAGGACAACGGGCCCTTGTCTCAATGGTAGAGCGTTCATCTCCATGTCCAAAGATCCCGGGTTCGAATCTCAGTGATCCACACTTGGGGTTGGGTATGACTGGCTGATGACGGCTAATAAGCCAGAAGTGGCCATTCCGGTCTCCCTTGTCTTTGTCGGTACCATCTCATATATATATATATATATGCTAATAGAAGCGAAGATTCGAGTCCCCGGACATAAATGAGAAGAAGAGGCGATCTCGGGAACCATGATTGTATTGTCCTGACGTTTCAAAAGCAGACAAGCTTTCGTCGTCGGAGGTGAGTATCGTACGGCATCACACAGTATGTCACTTTTTAATTTCCGGAGAAATTTTGTGCGAAGTAGGAGTAGATCAGTATATTCAAGGTCTATAGGCACAGACCGAGAATTTTATACATGAATATTTGGGCCAAAGTCCATCAGCCACAGCGGGTAACCGCGTAATATTCATTAACTGCCTACAGGCAGCTAGTAGTATAATCTAGATCACACAGTATTTATAGGAGGGGGAAAGATATCAGTCATGCTAACAGGATGCCCTCAAGAAACTGAGGGCCGACACGAGCATTGTGGTACTGCCAGCAGACAAAGGGCGTTCTACAGTTGTCTTGGACAAGACCGACTACATTCAGAAGGCTAATAACCTCCTGGATGATCGACAGGCCTACCTCCGATGTGATGATGAGCCGATGAGGAAGCTGCTGACGCAGTTGGACAAAACGCTCGCTGAAATGCAAACGAACAAAGTAATAAGCAAGTCAGTACGACTGGCCGTTAAACCAACAGATG